GGCTGAACAAACATTTTATCACCCTTTAAATTTCAGACATCCTTTTAAAGCCACCTCTGCTTAAAAGCAAAATCTCCCCTCTTAGGGCAAGACATTAATTTATGTATTTCAAAATCTTTACATGCACAGAGATAATCGGCCTGACAAACTCCCCTGATTTATGAGCATGTCCTGGGGGCAGCAAGGGATCAAACAGGCTTTACTGTTTTGACATATTTTTGGGCTTCAGATCATTGGAAGCCATCTCCCCCACACACACACACCTTTGGACGAGGAAAAAGGGAAAACTCTTTCGAACCATACATAAGTCAAAATTGCTGACACAACGAAAATGCATCTGTTAGTAATGCCAGATTTCTTTAATGTTTGTTACTGAACTACCGTTAAAAAAAAAAAAATTAGACTCCATTCTTCAAAATGCCGCTCCACGAAAACACTAATCTGTTTTCACAAACTCACCTGTAAACAGAAATCACCTATAAATATAATAGCTTGAGTCTAGTGGCACCTTGAAGACCAACAATGTTTAATTCTGGGTATAAGCTTTCATGTGTGTTAAGTCGCTCGCTTAACAAAGTAGTCGGAGAGTGATTCAGCAAAGATTCAGCTTTATTCAACAACTCGAACACAACTCCAACACGGATCAACATCTGATAGCCAGTACAGCTTTTGCATTAAAGCTGTTCCCTTTTTAAACTCTCCCGGCTAATGTAGCCACGCCTACTATACAATTATCAACCAATAAGGTTGTACACATAAGGACCAATCACGGACATTCCCACTCAGGGAGCTTGCTGACCAGTGATTGGTTGGGTCTTCCTGGGCTAGCAATGTGATTGGATGGATTTGGATCCTAGCCCAGGATGAAGCTTTACATGGCAAGTCAATTAAGTAGGTCACATATTGTTATGCATTCAATGGCAGCTATTGAATACATTACAGTGTGCACGCATGGAGACGAAAGCTTCTAGCCAGAACTAGACTTTGTTGGTCTTAAAGGTGCCCCTGGACTCAAACTTTGTTCTGTTGCTTCAGACCAACACATCGACCCAACTGAGTGTATAATGCCTGTACTGCTTGCATCATAAGTTGGTGCTTCTTGCAATTCAAGAAAGGGCACTAAGGATCTGTCACAAGTGTGATTGTTTTAGCAATGACAAGCTGTCCAGGAAAATAATTCTGATGTCAGAAAGAATCAAAGGATGCGTCTGGAATCGGAATGGGTGGGAGGGACCTAGGGAGCATTTGGCCCAATCAAAAGGTTGGGCCAAGAACTTACCAGCAATTAATCCACCAATCTGTGCAGTCCCGATCACTGTGTGCCAACTGCGATGCAGAACGGTGATCCCAGAGAGAATTATTCCAGATGATTCAAGAGAGATGCCAACCTACAATCTACGAGAGAAGACATCCCTTTGTGCCCCTGACATTCTACTCATCTGGCAGCCATCTAACAT